AAAAAAAAAAAAAAATAGAGAAGGAAAAAGGCCCGGCCCGAGACATGTTCCCTTCAGACATCAACAACAATAACAACAAGAGTGATCTCGAAAACCCGCTGGAGCCCTTGCTTCTGAAAACTCCACCATGCTTTCCTCATATTCACAGTCCAACAAACCCAACAACCCCCCCAATATTTTTCTCCAATTTCCCCTTTCTCGACGAGGAACTTCCCCTCAACCAAATCCTCCACTTCAAACCACCGCCGGAAAACAATTCCGACCCGACTCCCGCACCCGACCCGGCCAAAAAGCTGAAATCCAAGGCCAATGATCGACGAAAACGGACCGGGAAAAAGGACCGTCACAGCAAGATTCGCACGGCCCAAGGGATTCGAGACCGGCGGATGAGGCTGTCCCTCCAGGTGGCGCGCAAGTTTTTCGATCTCCAAGATATCCTAGGCTACGACAAGGCCAGCTGCACCATCGAGTGGCTCTTCAGTAAATCCAACAAGGCCATACGAGAGCTCATCACCAATAAACAAAATACAAATAATAATTTATATTTGTCGGCCAAGAGCCACGAGTCGTATTCCGAGTGCGAGGTGGTGTCAGGTGTCCAGGAGGTGAGCTCCAAGGAGGAAGTATTAGTAAACACGACAAAGAAAGTGGTTCAGCCTCGCAAGCCGAGTAGCTCACGGGAGGCGAGGGAAAAGGCTCGGGCTCGGGCCAGATGGAGGACCACCGAGAAGATGATGATAAGGCGGAGGCTCCAGACTGACTCCTCCCAAATATTTTCCACTCCTAATTCCCATCAAAATCAAATTAGTGTGGAGGATCACCAGAAATTAGGGTTTTCGGCCGAATATCACGATGCCGGGACAATCGAGAAACTGCTCGGAAATTCGGGATTCTCCATGTCTAACTACGCCTCCCGGGACAAAAATGTTTATGAGAGTTGCAAAGATGTCGACACTAATTCGGTGGGATTTCTGGGTAATTGGCAAGTATTGGGGAATAATGTTGAGAGATTTGACTGCACTCAAGCTAGCGTCACGAATGAAGGCTCGTCGATGGCAAGCAATGTAAGTCCCGGCTCAGTTTATTCGGCCCAGAATTTTCTCTTCTTTCATCAATAATTAATTGAAGTAATTGTTGGTTTCGATTTCTGGAATTGTAGAATTTGGTCGGCATTGATTTTATCAGGTATGTGTGTTTGTTGTGTGTGTAAACTAGCTTTGGTTTGGGTCGTGGATTTGAATTTGAGGAAAGTTTGGAATAATTAGTCAAGCCCTAGCCATGTTTCATGTATTTCTGTATGAATGAACTCAAGTTGATTTTACGTGAATAAATAAGATGATGTTGTACTCAAGTTCTTGCACATATGTGTGGCTGTTTGTGTAGGTTTTTTAGGACTTAATACATCAACTGATCATGATCATAATGTCAAGGTAGTGAGTTGAAGATTATCTGCAATTGTTGGCTTGTAAAAAAAACATGGTTGTTAAAGAGTTGGTAATTTCCTGCACATATATGAACTGAAAGAAATGAGAATATTTCTGTAAAGTGAAGTTGTTTAGTGAAAAGTAAATGAACTGAGAACATTATCTGTGGTGAGAATAGGTGTTAAAGAGAGCATCTCGAATGAAATATTGTCCATTTTGTGTTGTATGGCATGGAGAAAAAAATTAAAAAATTGTGTCTTCATTAGTTAGTGTTAATTGTGGTATCATTTGTGATTGTGTAAAATTGTAAATATGATTAGAGAAAAAAGATAAATTGAAAAAAATAATATAAATATACGGTTGCTAGAAGTTGTCTAGAATATCTTCTACATATAGAACTCTAACCATTTTTCATGTCAAATAGAATTATTTCTGGCATGTGGCCAGTACCAAATAGACTAATATAGAAAGATCATTGAAGATACTTTAACATTCGTTTTAAGAGAATGCTCTCATGCATATATCTCAGTTGTATAATAAGATTAACAAAGAAAAAAAAGGTAACGTCTGTACAATAGTTTTGCTATCACGCCAACAATTGGTTGCATATTGGAGTCAATCTTCTATATACAACAAGGAAAACATACCATATTATCTGATTACTTGTTGTTTATAGAATGTTGGCTCTAATATAACGCCAACTGTTGGCTTCATAAAAAAACTGACCCATACAAATCTTTCTCTAATGTACGAGGAAATACAAAGGCATGGATCTAATGACATGAGCTGCATATTGAACATTTCATGAGATGAATATCAATGAATTTCACAATAATCTCAATCAACCTCACAACATATATATATATATATATATATA